CAGCAACAACTGTTGCTGCTACTTTAATACCAATTAACACTTCTTTATCTATGGCATCATTATCATTAAATCTAATTTTATTTCCGTTCATGTTCCACATTTCCAACACTAACACAATTTATTCAGTTTTTTGTTTGTTTTACACTTTAACGATGTGTTTTTCTAGAATTCGCAGCTGTTGCTGTTTTAGCCATTTCAAATATATATTTATAAATATAATGAGGGCAGGTCGTAAAGTTGTCATAAATACGGAGATTTTTAATAGAAAATTTTGAATTAATCTGTGTAATTATAATCATGGAAATATAACCATATATGGGCACCACTACGTGATAAAAGACCAACAAGAAAAGACCCGAGACTCCTAGTTTTGCCCAAAGACATGCCTTCAGGGCCTTGATGTCATTTTTGCAAAAAAGTGATCATTTTCTCAGGCTCGTATCTTGCAAACCATTCGGAATTTCGATTTATTCTCTAAGGCAAAGTTGTAGCTATTATCACAAAGAACAAAAATTGTGAACATATAAAATCAAAAAAGCTTCATTCACATTCATTTTTTAAGTGGAAAGATTTACATTTTGAAACTGCACTGCCAATACTAATGACACCGGTACGTATACGTGTTTATCATTTATTGATATTACAAATATTACGTATACGCCTAATTTAGAAAAGCATTTAAAATATTTTAATTCGTAAAACGTCGAATTTTTTATAGTTTTTGTTTGCGATTTTGTTCTTGAAGATGATAATTAGTCCAATTTTATCGAAAATTTTCTAAAAAAAAAATAAATAAATAGAAATTTATCGAAAAATAAAAATACTGAAAATGTTTTTTAAATAAAATAATTTCAACGACCATGTCGTATAGATACGCCAGTGTTAATGTTTATTATGTACTAGTTCGTTCATTTTGTTGTTGCAACATATTATGTTGTGTTTTATGTAAATTATACTTAAAATGTCAAAAATATTTGGTATAAGCTTAATTTATATACATACTTACGCATACCAATGTATGTATGTATATGAATTATAATCTATATAAGCATTTAATATTTTTTATTTCATTTTTTTTTTAATAAGTTCAAATCATTAACTTACTTTTTATACATTACTGATTTAATTGAGGCTTAAATATCAATTATTGAGAATTTGTTAAAATGCTTTTGCTTTATAAAAACAGTTAATTAAATGTTAATTTTATAATGCAGCAAAAAAAAAAAAAAAAAAAAATTTACATACATACTTCGTTAAAAAAAACATTTAGTCATAATTTAAATTGATTTGTAGATTTAAACATTATTTATAATTCTCTCTAATGCTGTGTTTAAACTATAGTATTTTTAATAAAATCTAATTGAATATTTCTTATAACCATCTATTTTGTATACAAATATAATGACCTTTAATTTAAATAATTAATTATGTATTTTGCAATATTCTTCGTAGAATCTCTTTAATCCTACAACAATTATCTATATTAATTAATTATGTTTACTTACACTGAATACTCCCAACTGCATAAACTAACATTATTCCTTTTATACCTTTGGGTAACACTATCTGCTATTTGTATTTCAACATTTTAGTTTGCCATTGAATATTCTCTACGGCCTGCACAAGGAAACGTAGCAAAATAAATTTTCAACAGAATTCTTGTCTTGCCTTTTAAATGCGAAATCTTTTTGTGTACAAAATACATTGAGTGGTATTTAAAAGCTAAGCAAAAACTAAAGCTTTTAATTTCAATTAAAATGAGATTTGTTAGTTATTTAATCTAATTACTATTGAGTTATATGTTTGTAGTGGTTTTTGAAATTTAAGAATAACTAATAAATTAAAGAAAGCAGTTATAAATATTTGTTATTATTTCTAAATTTATTAGTTGTTCAATTATATTAAATTCAATTATATAAAGGTTAATTGCATACTTTGAAAAAAGTATAGTTTCTATAAAGTTTTGTTCTTTTCTTTCTGTAAGTGTATGTCACTGTGTGTTTTGTTAAGACAAGAATTTTTAATGTCAGATTTATTTGAATTGAACTTGAAAATATTGAAAATTTTCTAAAATAAAAAAAGATATATTCTATTCAAAATAAAGAACATTTATTACTGTTTGAAAATTTTCTTTAAAAAATTCGTTCGAAAATTTTCTATAAAATTAAATTTGTAGGAAATTGCTTCAGTCAGTTAGTTAGTTAGTTGGTTAGTTAGTAGTTAGTTTAGTTAGTGTGTGAGTGAGTTAGTTAGTTAGTAGTTAGTTAGTTAGTTAGTTAGTTAGTAGTTTGTAGTTAGTTAGTTAGTTAGTTAGTTAGTTAGTTAGTTAGTAGTTAGTAGTTAGTTAGTTAGTTAGTTAGTTAGTAGTTAGTTAGTTAGTTAGTTAGTAGTAGTAGTTAGTTAGTTAGTTAGTTAGTTAGTTAGTTAGTTAGTTAGTTAGTTAGTTAGTTAGTAGTTAGTTAGTAGTTAGTTAGTTAGTTAGTTAGTAGTTAGTTAGTTAGTTAGTTAGTTAGTTAGTTAGTTAGTTAGTTAGTTAGTTAGTTAGTTAGTTAGTTAGTTAGTTAGTTAGTTAGTTAGTTAGTTAGTTAGTTAGTTAGTTAGTTAGTTAGTTAGTTAGTTAGTTAGTTAGTTAGTTAGTTAGTTAGTTAGTTAGTTAGTTAGTTAGTTAGTTAGTTAGTTAGTTAGTTAGTTAGTTAGTTAGTTAGTAGTTAGTTAGTTAGTTAGTTAGTTAGTTAGTTAGTTAGTTAGTTAGTTAGTTAGTTAGTTAGTTAGTTAGTTAGTTAGTTAGTTAGTAGTTAGTTAGTTAGTTAGTTAGTTAGTTAGTTAGTTAGTTAGTTAGTTAGTTAGTTAGTAGTTAGTTAGTTAGTTAGTTAGTTAGTTAGTAGTTAGTTAGTTAGTTAGTTAGTTAGTTAGTTAGTTAGTTAGTTAGTTAGTTAGTTAGTTAGTTAGTTAGTTAGTTAGTTAGTTAGTTAGTTAGTTAGTTAGTTAGTTAGTAGTTAGTTAGTTAGTTAGTTAGTTAGTTAGTAGTTAGTTAGTTAGTTAGTTAGTTAGTTAGTTAGTAGTTAGTTAGTTAGTTAGTTAGTTAGTTAGTTAGTTAGTTAGTAGTTAGTTAGTTAGTTAGTTAGTTAGTTAGTTAGTTAGTTAGTTAGTTAGTTAGTTAGTTAGTTAGTTAGTTAGTTAGTTAGTTAGTTAGTTAGTTAGTTAGTTAGTTAGTTAGTTAGTTAGTTAGTTAGGTAGTTAGCTAGTTAGTTAGTTAGTTAGTTGGTTTGAAAGGAGGATATATGTTACATCAAATCCAAATACTTCGGTCATCATCGAAACCACAACCTCCGGTATGACCTACCACGTATAATACAACTAGTTTCTTTTTTGTGATTCCTGCACTCCGCTTTAGTTTTGTCCACTTTGTTTGTCGACCATTGCTAAAGTGTGTTTTATTCATAACAACTATAACTATAAAACCAAAATTTCATTTCTAAAACGTTCAACAATTCTCATAAAGCTGTCTGCCAGTGTGACGCATGAGGAATATTATTCATTTTACTCACAATTCATCATACGCATTTGACATCTTTGACACTTTTATGGTTAAGTTATGGTTTGGTAAGAATAAAAAAATCTAATGTAAGAGCATTCGTGCTAGTTTTAATGATTAATAAGTAAGTGGACTTTAATTAAAAAATCATTGTTTTAAAAATTGAAAGTACTTTTGGTAAATGAAATTCAAAGAATTAAGCGTGAAATGATAAATGTATTTACTTTCTTTACATTAGTATTGTCTCATTTATTATGCGTTTTAACTTAAACTGCTGAAAACATTGTATGATATTATTTGAAAATATAACGAAAGTTAAGAAAAATATAGATTCTCATATTAAGTATTTGTTTTTATTTTTATGTCACTGAATACAAAAATATTTTCCTTATTTTTTATTTTCCGGAATTCTAAAATCATTTGACTTCTTTCATGTATGAGTTTTGTTGTTATTTGTTTATTTTATGTGCAAAATTTACTATTAAAACCACAAATATAATACTTTTAAAAGAAAAAAGTAGAAAAAAATGTCTTTTGACTTTAAACATAATTTTAACTTGAGGGGTTAAGTATGTTTTGCACTGTTGTCAAATACTATGGGGATTTTATTTTAGAGTAGAAAAATATTGATACATTATGTTTTCCAGGAAATATTGGAAAAATGCTTAAGGTTTGTTGTTGTTTTTGTGATGAAATTGGAATAAATTGAGTGATTATTTCTAAGAAATATTTTTAAAGATTTTTAAAAAAATATGAAAATTTAGAAGTTGACTAGAGGGAGAATTTTAAATACTTGATAAAACTCTTAATCAACCAAACTTGATAGCGTATGTTCCGTATATCCCAAACTCTTAAGAACTTACATTTTAGTGTAAAACATTGGAAACTAGTTTCCATATATTAGAAACCTCCCTAATATACATATATACATATTTGTACTGGTATCCTCTTCTATACATGTGTATTAATTTATTCAATTTATATCGATCCTTTACTAGCAGTTTCTTGTTTATTTCATTATTTTTTTTTTAAATCTTTTAATATCCAACACGTGTTTATGCTTTTGATATTTTAAATTCATTTTAATTTATATTGCAATTTGTTTTTCTCTATTTTTTTCTCTGTTTCTTACTATTTATTTTAAATTAATATTTGTTGTACTGGCACAATCCGTTACGGTGTCCATAAGGATGTTGTTGGTGATGATGTGGTTTTTTATATTAATAATATTTACATTTCAAAAGATTGCAAAACTCAAATTGCATTTGGACTTGATGTGATTGGGGATCTTGTGGAAAGCAAATAGAATTAATAAAATAGAAAATGTAAAGGGATTGACTTAAGAAAAAAATCATATATTCATATGAATAGTTTAATAATATAAAATTTATAAATAGTAAAAATTTGAGACTCAGTTTAAGATATTGTTCTAAAATTTATTCTTTTCTTCTATTTTCAGCTTTTATTTTCTTAAAATAAATAATATTTGCTTATAAAATGTTTGCCACTTTCTTGGTGTAAATTCGAGTAAGTCAATTTAATATATTTTTTTTAGAAATATAAAAATCTCCATTAAAAATAAATAAATTTTATAGGACAATTTTGCTAAAACTCTTATGTATATGAAGGTATGAAAAATAAATAAATAAAAATACTTTTGTTTTTGTTTAATTTAAAGTTATTTAATATTTTTAAATTTTATAAATATTTCATTTATATATGTACAAAAAGTTATAATAAAATTTAGTTTTCAAGGAATTTAGTACTTCAGTGATTTTATATGATTTAATCTAAATATTTTTTTTTATTAGGATTAGTTATTACAATTACTACAATATTTTGAAGTACATTATTTATAAATATATTTTTTCGTGCTCCATAAAGGGTTTCTAAATAAGTGATTTTATGTTTAATCGGAACACACACGAAGAAAAAAATTTATCATATCCGAGGTGTACTACTTTGCGGACAACTAACTACGCCCCTGGTAGGTCCATGAGATACAAATTTAAAACTTCCTCTTTTCGTATGTGAAATTTCATTAGAATCTGGCAAATCTTTTAGAAGTAAAAGAATTATTTCCATTTTTTCTATACCAAAGTGTATCAGGCATATTATGGCCTTATTTTAATGTAAAATGTAGGTGCAATTTTCACAATCGTCCAATGTTCACAAACTAAACTTGTACATAGTTCCTTAGAATTTTCCAATCTGTGTTCCTGAGAAATAACGTCGCTACCAAGATATTTGAGTCTTATGTTCATGTCATGTTCATTCATCAGAATCTATGAATTATAACTCGTACTTTTTCATTCTGAGGAGGCTTTTCGTCTTTCTCTTAATGGATTGTAATAGTTCTACCCACCATTCTTTATTTCCATACTTCATCAAGCCTTCTTCCTTTTATAGCATGTTTATTCGCTCTATAAAAATAAATTTTTATCTAAATAACCATAGCCGTTAATATATTTACCGACAGCCAGAAGGCAATTAGGACGATATCAGGTGATACAATTAAATCTAAGACCGTATTGCTCACGTAAGCTTTAACTGTATACTCTCCCAGAGGTAAGGTTTACATCATATGTGTACCAGGCCACTTGGGAGTAGGCGGCAACGAAAGGGCGAATGTAATAGCATTAAAGGGAGCTTGAGGTAGTTAATCTGACTTAGAGAATCCCATAAGGCCTTTGCAATAATGAAACGGTGGGTAAAACCACAAAGATCCTATGAGGTGAGCCTGATGAGAGCAAGACGAGAAATCTCCTCAAAATGAGCAAATCTTATGTTAGCATGATGGTACGTATTCTGAGTGGACACACACACATCTATACAAAATTGGACGTGCGTATTCAGATGAATATTGAGCATGTGGAGAGGACAGTGAAACTCTGGAGCACTTTCTTTGCCTCAGTCAGGCATTCGTCGAAGTTAGATTCAAGTATTTTGGAAGTGATATTATTCCGGAAATAACACTCTTGACTAACACTGATTGGAAAATTTTTAAGAATTACGTTCAGGAAACTGAGTTTCTGAACATTGAAAAATAATACATTCAGTGAACATTTTTTTCATGAAAAGGAACGCACAACAGGCCCGACAGTGGCCTAGTTGTATTTTTTCGGATTTGAAAAAATTCATAAAGAAATGTATCTAAAAATAAAAATTATTAATAACTATCTAACGCGAGGTCCTTGTCGGCTCTATAATAGTGTAGGGTATTAACTACACCTTTATAGTGGGGAGGGTATTATGCGTTTGTGCTGATGTTTATAACACCCAAAAATATTGGTCCTACACTCACCTTAGAGTATACCAATCGGCTCAGAATCACTTTCTGAGTCGACTTAGCTGTCCGTCTGTGTGTTCATGTAAACCTACAGATCGCTATTTTAAAGAAAATTAGATGAAATTTGGCACATACTCTTCTTTTAGCTCAAAGCCTATTGAAAATGATTAAAAGCGGTTCATTATTTCGTATAGCCCCCATACAACCGTATCCCCCAAAAGGCTTTTGAACTCATAAATATGTTAAAAGTTCTAGTATTATTTCAAAAATCGGCAAAACTTAGTGTTATAGGAGTCTTAATGATACTGCTGATTTTCGTAATGATCGTTCCTTATTTGATCTTATCCGCCATACAAAGTCCCCTTCAGAAAATTACTTATGTAACTACTTATTTTTAAACGATCATTGTAAGTTATTGCCTCCAATGACATCATCGTATTAAAATATGTAGTTGAAACGTATAAGTTCTGAAAAGTTGTTATGTTAACTTTTACCTCTTTTCTTTATCTTGTAAGTTTCTGCTGCTATTTAGGGCCAACCTATTATTACATTATTTGCTTCTTTTTTATAAATTAAATTAGAATTGACTTTTATTAGGGTTATCTTGGCTGACAATTTAAATGACATGATATTAGGCAAGAAATTAATTTTTAAATAAATTACCAGGATATAAAACTTTATAAAAAATTTAAATGTTAAGTAATATAATACTTTCCATAAAATAGTCAAAATTTAGTACCAATGAGAACTTAAGAGAAATACATGATTTAGATCAAATAGACACATACTAATGTGTTGAAAAAAAATTATTTTTTATTTTTATTTAATTACAAGAAATCTTAAATAAATAATTTATTTTCATAGTGATGAATTATTTTCAACAAAAGTAAAATTTGTGTTTTTTCATACATATGTATGTATTCATTTAACTTATTTTTAACAACACATATAGAAATTTATTTATATGAATTTAATTCAATATTTTTGGTGGTTAAAATGTTTTTATGATTTATTTTTGGTTGGTATTGAAAAGTTTTGCTATTTAATGTGGTAAGAGGGAATTCAATTGAAATTCTCATATATACTTAACAGGATATTTTTACTGTTTATTATAGAATACCAAAAACTTTTATATGTATATTCATAATTAAATTTCATATAAACCATTTACTTAGTTTTTGTGGTCTCTCTGGTTATGTTTGGTTATTATTATAATAAGGCTTAAACGAGGCGACAACAGGCTGTATGAAAACAATTAAGAATACATTCAGTTTAGCACAAATAACAACAAATAAATGATATAGTTTATTTGCAACAATTGCTATTCGTAAAATATTCCTATATTATATTTAGTATTTTACGTGGAATATAATTATATTCTGTGAAAATTTACACCTGTATATAACACTTACATATAGTCACCTAATCTAACTAATATAACGCGTTGCTTCAGTTTCAAAGGGGCTAACTAACATATAAGTACATACATGTATGTAAAACACAGTAAATAAACCCTCAAACTTAATGAACAAAGTATTGACACTTACATGACCGTGTATCCGACTACTGTACCTAGTAACAATGCTACACGTGAATAAACAAAAAGGGAAAAATAGGAAAAAAAATCACGTAATATTACGTGCTTAAGCTTATTTCTCGTTTTTTCTCTATTTTTTCGCAGTATATATGGATTTACTACTTATAATTATGGTTGAATGTATGTGGACGTGTATCTGTTGGGTTTTAATCCAGTTACAGGTGTAGTTGTTACAGTTACTTGTTGTTGTAGTGATTTTCCCCCTGTTGCTGTTATTTATTTGTTCCTATACTCATAATAAGTTTTTAACGGAAACGGATGTTGTCATTGTCAGAGGCTTCAACGCATTGCTCATGTTTCATTCCTTTATAAAAACGTTGCTAGTTTCAGCTCTCCTCTAGGTTGAGGGTCATGATTTTCAATACTTTTTAACCCTTTTTTTAAAGAAGATTTAATGTTGCTTGTAACTGTACAACCATAAATAAATGTTTTGTTGGAAATTAAATTTTGGGTTATTTGAATAACATAAAAATCGAGTTAAATTAAATAAATATGTAGATAAAACTGATTTTGGTATAGTTGGATATACTATGTAAATAAAACCCGTTAGTTATAATAGTGGCAAGTATCTCATTTAATTGGTCATATCACAATTCTTAGCAGAGTTTAGAAGACTACGCTACAAGCCTATAGTCTAGTCTATAGTCTAGTCTATAGTCTATAGTCTAGTCTATAGTCTAGTCTATAGTAGTCTAGTCTGTATAGTCTAGTCTATAGTCTAGTCTATAGTCTAGTCTATAGTCTAGTCTATAGTCTAGTCTATAGTCTAGCTATAGTCTAGTCTATAGTCTAGTCTATAGTCTAGTCTATAGTCTAGTCTATAGTCCTAGTCTATAGTCTAGTCTATAGTCTAGTCTATAGTCTAGTCTATAGTCTAGTCTATAGTCTAGTCTATAGTCTAGTCTATAGTCTAGTCTATAGTCTAGTCTATAGTCTAGTCTATAGTCTAGTCTATGTCTAGTCTATAGTCTAGTTATAGTCTAGTCTATAGTCTAGTCTATAGTCTAGTCTATAGTCTAGTCTATAGTCTAGTCTATAGTCTAGTCTATAGTCTAGTCTATAGTCAGTCTATAGTCTAGTCTATAGTCTAGTCTATAGTCTAGTCTATAGTCTAGTCCTATAGTCTAGTCTATAGTCTAGTCTATAGTCTAGTCTATAGTCTAGTCTATAGTCTAGTCTATAGTCTAGTCTATAGTCTAGTCTATAGTCTAGTCTATAGTCTAGTCTATAGTCTAGTCTATAGTCTAGTCTATAGTCTAGTCTATAGTCTAGTCTATAGTCTAGTCTATAGTCTAGTCTATAGCTAGTCCTATAGTCTAGTCTATAGTCTAGTCTATAGTCTAGTCTATAGGTCTAGTCTATAGTCTAGTCTATAGTCTAGTCTATAGTCTAGTCTATAGTCTAGTTCTATAGTCTAGTCTATAGTCTAGTCTATAGTCTAGTCTATAGTCTAGTCTATAGTCTAGTCTATAGTCTAGTCTATAGTCTAGTCTATAGTCTAGTCTATAGTCTAGTCTATAGTCTAGTCTATAGTCTAGTCTATAGTCTAGTCTATAGTCTAGTCTATAGTCTAGTCTATAGTCTAGTCTATAGTCTAGTCTATAGTCTAGTCTATAGTCTAGTCTATAGTCTAGTCTATAG